GACTGTGTGGCGCCCCCAGCGGCTCCCAAACGCGCTGAAGAGTCCGTCCCACCGCCCTGTGCTGCGAGCGGGGAGTTTGGACTCAACGATCCTAAAGGTCTTTTCCAGCTGAAACGATTCTGAGTCTGTTCTATGATTCTCCGCCCCTAAAGGGCAGGATCCAACCTTCCGACAATTACTACCCCAAAAAAAGAGCGAGTGTCCCACCCGCCGGCCATGGCTGCCCTCCTCCAGCTGTTCTACCCGCTCTCCTGCGCGATCGCTTGGCTCCTCCTCAGCGGCAGCGAGTGCTTGAGCTCCTGCTGTGGAATCGTCACCCTGACGGGGCGGCAGCTCCCCTGCAGAAGGCACAGCACCTCCTTGCCCAGCACGCCGTCCTGGCCGGGAGTCCCTCGCGACACCCCGCGTCTCTGAACAGGGATCCAAACGCGGGACTCGGGCATCCCCAGGGTGAGGATCTTCCAGCAACAGCGACCAAAGCGTCGGCTGCGGGCTGAGAGTAAGATTTTCCAGAAGTGAGAGCTGGGCTTTACGGGTGATGTTCCTTTTTTTCTTCCTAATTCTACAGTTAAGCGAGTGTAATCTCTAACAGCCACGAGTGGCAACCACTAGTGTTACGTTTTTGTTGTTTTCTAAAAGGAGAAAACCAATATCCTCACCACACGTCTTTCCTCAGCCCTGGCACGTTGTCGAAAGGACGACGGGAATAATCTTTACGCTCAGTATCGGGTATAAACAACTGCCCCGTGTTGGTGCAGAGTGAGGATGACAATAGGAGCCACGTGAACGGGCGGCCTGTCCGCAAAGCCAGACACGTGTCCCCTCGCCGAGTGATCCGAGTGCTGCAAATCAGGTGTCCTCAGGGCCAACCAATATCAACCGCCTTGAAAAGCCAGATCCAATACAAGGTTCCAACGCTTGTTGATACAAACGAGCTTCTTTTCCCACAGTTAACGATTGCTGCGATTTTAAGTGCTGTCAAAACAAGGACGTGCCGGGAAAGGTTTGCTTCAGGAGCTCGCACCCTCCCGGCAGGACCGGGGGTTGCCTGCGCGCAGCGAGAAGGGCCGTGACCGAGATGCCCCGTCTCAACTCTGACACTATGGGCCCGTCCCGGTCCCTGCTCTGCACCGGCAAAGCCGGCTCCAGCACCGAGCAATCCGCTCCCTTCATCTTTCACTAAAGCCCAAACATTTAAAGGGCTCGCTCGTTCTTTTTTAACAAAATCACAACAACAGGAAGAGGATGACGCCAGAATATCAGACCCAAATTCATAAATCGGTTCCTTTGGTCACTACTGCCCAGCTGAGCAATAACCAGTGACGAGCCGCTCTCCCACCCATTCCCTTCGGAGAATGGTCCCTAGTATTGGAATCAGCTGATATTGATTTTCCCTGATCCACAATAGGTCCAGACCAGAATATTTAAACAGGTTGAGAGGTGCGTAGTATTAAAAAGATCCTTAAGAAACACTGAGGTAGACTGCACCAGAACGGGACAAAAAGAATCCCACCACATCCACCTGCCAAGATTTTTACGGATACAAATTTACACGTTCTGTGTGTTTAAGAAAACAGATTGTTTGTTGGTTGTTTTTTTTTACAGTGTTTTATATATTAAAATAAATAAAAAAATTCTAATAAGAAAAACTTCTCTTCCTTAGAAAAGTGTGAGAATATGTCTTCTTTCCTGCAGTGTAGTATCGAGCTGCTAAACAGTTACTACTTTGTAAAGCAGAAGAAATGTAAACGAGGCCTTTTCAAATTGAAGGTTCTGAGCCACGTCTGGACTGCGTATTTTCCATCTCACTTTGAGCAACCCGCACCCTCCACCTTTGGCCGAAATGACCAGATTCTAGTGGTGCGAAGGCCCGACGGCTTGTGGGG